CTTCCTTCCTTCCTTCCTTCCTTCCTTCCTTCCTTCCTTCCTTCCTTCCCTCCTTCCATCTCCTCACTATGCAGCCCCAACTGGCCTAGAAATGGTTCTGTAGGCTAAGCTGGCCTTGAATTCACAGAGGTGCACACCCCCTTAGTACTCTGTTTACAAGTGTGCACCACCACTTCAGGTTCCTTTTAATTCTATGCGGTAGGGAGGGGTTTGCTGTGTATCCTGAACTGGTCTTGACTTTGTAACCCTTTCACATTAGCCCCTGGAATAGACAAGATTACAGGCGTGCACCATCACACCCAGCTGAATCTAGCTCTTAAAACGGTCCATCAGTAGATGTGAGTGGGATTGTGAAAACTAAACCAGCCGAAAAGGGCTGGGTGTGAGGTAGAGAGAAGAGGGGTGGGGTTGAGAATTGATCCCAGATCCAGTGCTGACAGTTGAGGTAAAGATGGTGTATTGAGGGCAGGAAAAGGGAGACTTTGATCTCAGTCCTAGCTGGGGACCTGCAAGAGCCTGAGTAGGTCACTGAGGCTGCCCTATTCGTGAGGACTGAGTGCTTGGAGCAGCTGAGGGAGAGAAGAGAGAGGAAGGAAACAGGGCTGTCTGGCATCTCAGGGCAGGAAAGAAGTGCGGCATCTAAAGGGTGCTAAGGACAAATAACAGGAGGACAACTCTTGGGCATGATTTTCTTTTCTTTTTAACAGTATTTTTTTATTTTACATATCAATCCCAGTTCCCTCTCCCTCCCTTCCTCCTGCTCTCCCTGCTTCCTACCACTCCACTTCCCATCCATTCCTCAGAGAGGGTGTGGCCTCACATGGGGAGTCAACAAAATCTGTCATATGACTTGAGGAAGGACCAAGGCCCTCCCCACTATGTCTAGGCTGAGCAAGGCATCCCTCCATAGGGAATGGGCTCCAAATATCCAGTTCATGCTCTAGGAATAAATACTGGTCCCGTTGCCAGTGGCCCCACAAACTGCCCAAGTCACACAACTGTCACCCACATTCAGAGGGCCTAGTTTGGTCCTATGCAGGTTCCCCAGCTGTCAGTCCAGAGTCAGTGAGCTCCCACTAGCTCAGGTCAGCTATTTCTGTGTATATCCCCATCATGGTCTTGACCCCTTTGCTTATATTATTATTCCTCCCACTCTATGATTGGACTCCAGGTGTTAAGCCCAGTGCTTAGCTGTGAATCTCTGCATTTGCTTCCATCAGTTGCTAGATGAAGGATCTATAATAACAATTAAGGTATTCATCAGTCTCTTACAGGGGAAGGGCAGTTAAGGCACCCTCTCCACTATTAGTTAGATTCGTAGCTGGGGTCATCCTTGTGAAATCCTGGGAAATTCCATAGTGCCAGGTTTCTTGCTAACCCCATAATGGCTCCCTCTATCAAGATATCTCTTTCCTTGCTCTTTCTCTCTCTCTGTCCTTCCCACATCTTGGCCATCCTATTCCCTCAAGTTTTTCTCCCCACTTCCCTTCTCCTCTCTTCTTCCCCTTCTGCCCACCATTCTCCCTCCACTTCCACTCTCCCAACTTTCTCAGGAGATTTTGTCTATTTCTCCTTCCCATGGGAATCAATGTATGTCTCTCTTAGGGTTCTTCTTGTTTCCTGGCTTCTCTGGGGTTCTGGAATGTAGACTGGTTATCCTTTGCTAATAGCCACTTTTGAGTGAATACACACTGTGTGTATCTGGGTCTGAGTTACCTCACTCAGGATTTTTTTCTAGTTTTTTTTTTTCTAGCTCCATCCATTTGCCTGCAAATTTCAAGATGTCATTTTTTATTATTTATTTGTCTTTATTTCCTGTGCATTGGTGTGAAGGTGTCAGATCCCCTGGAACTGGATTTTCAGACAGTTGTGAGCTGCCACATGGGTGCTGGGAATTGAACCTGGATCCTCTGGAAGAGCAATCAGTGCTCTTAACTGCTGAGCCATTTCTCCAACCCCGATGTCATTGTTTCTTACGAGTGATTAGTACTCGATTGTGCAAATGTACCACATTTTCTTTATCCATTCTTCAGTTGAGAGGCATCTAGGTTGGCTATTATGAATAATGCTGCTATGAACATATCAAATAAATGCCCTTGTGATTTGAGTGTGCATCCATTGGATGTATGCCCAAGAAAATATTGCTGGATCTTGAGGTAGATTGATTCCCAATTTTCTAAGAAACTGTCATACTAACTGTACAAGTTTGCATTTCTACCAGCAATGGAGGAGTGTTCCCCTTACTCTACATATTCTCCAGAAAAAGCTGTCATTAGTGTTTTTGATCTTAGCCATTCTGACAGGTGTAAGATGGTATCTCAGAGTCATTTTGATTTGCATTTCCCTGATGGCTAAGGATGTTGAGCAATTCCTTAAGTGTCTTTCAGCCATGTGAGATTCCTCTGTTGAGAATTCTCTGTTTAGATCTGTACCTCGTTTTTAGATTGGATTATTTGATATTTTAATGTCAAGTTTCTTGATTTCTTTGTTAATTTTGGAGATTAGTCCTCTGTCAGATGTGGGGTTGGTGACGATCTTTTCCTGTCTGTAGGCTGTTATTTTGTCTTGTTGACAGTGTCCTTTGCTTTACAGAAGCTTCTTAGTTTCAGAAGGTCCTATTTATTGTCGATCTCAGTGTCTGTGCTATTGGTGTTACATTCAAGAAGTGCTCTCCTGTGCCAATGCATTCAAGGTTACTTCCCACTTTCCCTTCTATGAGATTCAGTGTGACTGGATTTATATTGAGGTCTTTGATCTATTTGGGCTTGAGGTTTTTACATGGAGATAGCTATAGATCTATTTGCATTTGTAACATGAGGGGGACAGCTTGTTGGGGTTTCCATCCTGCCCGGTACCCCACAGCCGGCAAATCCCAAAGAGAAATCACACACAGGACTCCATAAGATTATAAAGCTGGTTGGCCCATTAGGTCAGGCTACTTATTAGCTCTTATGACACATACTACCCCATTATCTTTATCTACGTTAGCCATATGGCTTGGTACCTTTTTCAGCTGGGCAAGTTACATGCTGCCTCTTCGGTGGTCTGTGCAGGAGTGGTGGAGGGAGCTTCCTGTTTTCCCAGAATACTCCCAGTCTCTTTGCTCCACCCCTACTTCCTGTCTGGCTTTCCTGCCTATACTGCCTGCCTGGCCAATCAGAATTTTATTAAAATAGGATTGACAGAATACAGACAATTCTCCCACTCCGGTGGTCTGGGCAGAACTGCTGAGGGAGCTTCCTGCTTTCCAGAATACTCCCAGTCTTTTTTTTTTAACGTTCTTTTTTTTTCTTTTTTTTTGAAAGTAATTTTATTAAATTATAAAAGTTTCCATTTCCACCCCTCTTCCCAACACCCTCCCACTCCCCCCTCCCTCTCCTCCTCCCTCTTTGTCCCTAAGGGCACTCAGGGTTTCCAGCCCTGTGGGAAGTTCAAGTTCGTCCCCCCTCCCTCCAGGTCCAGGAAGGTGAGTATCCCAAAAATCCAGTATATGCAGAGGAAACTAGTCCCAGTGTCATTGTCAATGGCTTCTCAGAAAGACTCCGGGCCAGCCACATTCAGAGAATCCGGCCACATTCAGAGAATCTGGTTGGATCACGTGCTCGTTCAGTCGCAGTCCAACTGCCCTTGGTAAACTCTCATTAGATCCGACCCCTTGTATCAGTGGGTGATAGCATCCCTCGCAGTCCTTCATCATTTTCTTCGTCCTTCTGCTCCTCATTTGTACCTTGGGGGGCTCAATCCGGTGCTCCAATGTGGGTCTCCGTCTGTATCGCCATCCATCGCCAGATGAAGGATCTATGGTGACCCAGGAGGAGTAGAAGACTGGAAATAATCAAACTGAGGGCTGAAATCAACAAAATAGAAACAGAGAAAACAATCCAAAAAATCAATGAATCAAAAAGCTGGTTCTTGGAGAAAATCAACAAGATTGACAAACCCCTATCCAAACTAATCAAACGGCAGAGAGAGCACATGCAAATTAATAGGATCAGAAATGAAAAGGGGGATATAACCACAGACACAGAGGAAATTCAGAGAATCATTAGGTCTTACTACGAAAGTTTATATGCCACAAAGTTGGAAAATGTAAAAGAAATGGACATTTTTTTAGATAAGTACCATATACCAAAGTTGAACCAAGAACAGGTGAACAATCTAAATAGACCTGTTAGTCATGAAGAATTAGAAGCTGTTATCAGAAATCTCCCTGCCAAAAAAAGCCCAGGACCAGATGGTTTCAATGCAGAATTCTACCAGAACTTCCAGGAAGAGCTAATACCTATACTCCTTAATGTATTCCATAATATAGAAACTCCCAGTCTTTTTGCTCCACCTCTACTTCCTGTCTGGCTTTCCTGCCTATACTGCCTGCCTGGCCAATCAGCGTTTTATTAAAATATGATTGACAGAATACAGACAATTCTCCCACACCACTTTCATAGTGTTCAATAGGTTTAGGTACGCTGTGCCTTCGTTTTTGTTGAATTCTAGAAAGTCTTTAATTTCTTTCTTATTTCTTCCTTAACCTAGGGATGATTCAGTTGAACATTGTTCAGTTTCCATGAGTATGTGAGCTTTCTGCAATGAGTGTTGTTGTTGAATTCTAACTTCAATTCATGATGATCCGATAATGTTCAGGGGGTTATTCCAATTTTTGTACCTGTTGAGGTTTGCTTTGTTACCGAGTATGTGGTCAGTTTTAAAGAAGGGTCCATGAGGTGCTAAGAAGAAGGCATATTCCTTGGTATCTGGGTAGAATGTTCTATAAATGTCTGTTAAAATTTGAATCATAACATCTGTTAGTTCCTTTATTTCTCTGTTAAGTTTCTGTCTGGCAGTCCTATCCAGGGGTGAGAGTAGGGTATTGAAGTCTCCCACTGTTAGTATGTGGGGTTTGATGTGTGAATTAAACTTTAGTAATGTTTCTTCTACATATGTGGGTGCCCTTGTATTTGGGGCACAGATGTTCAGAATTGAGACTTCATCTTGATTAATTTTCCCTGTGATGAATTTGAAGTGTCCTTCTCCATCTCTTTTGATTAATTTTAGTTTGAAGTCTATTTTGTTAGATATTAGGATAGGTACAGCAGCTTGTTTCTTAGGTCTATTTGATTGGAAAGTCTTTTCCCAACCCTTTACTCTGAGGTAATGTCTGACTTTGAAGTTTAGGTGTGTTTCTTGTATACAGAAGAATGTATCCATTCTGTTAGCCTATATCTTTTATAGGCGAAATGAGACCTTTGATATCAAAAAATATTAATGACCAGTGACTGTTAGTTCATGTTATTTTTTGTTTTGGTGGTGGTGGTATTGTGCATGTATTTCCCTTCTTTGGGTTTTACTGGTGTGGGATTATCTATTGCTTTGTTTTTGTAGGTGTAGCTAACCTCATTGGGTTGGAATTTTTCTTCTAGTACTTTCTGTAGTGCTGGATTTATGGATAGGTGTTGTTTAAATCTGGTTTTGTCATGTAATATCTTGTTTTCTCCCTCTATGGTGATTGAAAGCTTTGCTAGGTATAGTAGTCTGGCCTGGCATCTGTGTCTCTCAGTGTCTACAGAGCATCTATCCAGGATCTTCTGGCTTTCAGAGTTTCCATTGGGAAGTCGGGTGTAATTCTGTTAGATCAGCCTTTATATGTTACTTGACCTTTTTCCTTTACAGCTCTTAATATTCTTTCTTTTTTGTTTGTTAAGTGTTTTGATTATTATGTGGTGAGGGGAATTCTTTCTTTGGTCCAGTCTGTTTGGTGTTCTGTAAGCTTGTTGTACTTTCCTAGGCATGTCCTTCTTTAGGTTGGGAAAGTTTTCTTCTATGATTTTTTGGATATATTTTCTGTGCCTTTGAGCTGGACTTCTCCTTCTTCTGTTCCTGTTATTTTTAGGTTTGGTCTTTTTATGGTGTCCCAGATTTCCTGGATATTTTGTTTTACAAATTTGCTGAATTTAACACGTTCTTTGACTGATGAATCTGCTTCCTCTATCGTATCTTCAATGCCTGAGATTCTCTCTTCCATTTCTTGTATTCTTTTGGTTATGCTTGCAGCTGTAGTTCCTGATCATTTACCCAGATTTTCCACTTTTAGAATTGACTCAGTTTGCATTTTCTTTATTGCCTCTATTTCAGTCTTCAAGTCTTGAACCATTTCTTTCACCTATTGGATTGTTTTTTTCTTGGTGTCCTTTGCTTTCTTTAAGGGATTTGTTGATTTCTTCTAATTTTTTGTTTGTCTTTTCCTCCATTTCTTTAAGGGAATTTTTCATTCCCTCTTTAAGAGCCTCCATCATCTTCATAAAGTTATTTTTTAGGTCATTTTCGTCTGCCTCATCTTGCTGGTGTAGAACCACTAGTTCCTGGTGGTGCCATGTTGTTCTTTATGTTGTCAAATGTATTCTTATCCTGTTGTCTACCCGTCTCTTCCTCCAATGGGTGCAGGTGGGACCTGTGCTTCAGGGGTCTCTCTTCCTCAAGGTGCAGGCAAGGCTTTGCTGCTCGTGGTCACTGATGCAGCTCTGGGGTCTCCTTTCCAGGTGCAGTCAGGACTAAGGCCCTGATGGTCAAGCATGTGGTGGGGAATTGTTACAGGTAAAGGAAGGCTGCTCCCAGGTCTCTGGAGCTTCACTGGGTAGGGGTAGGGCACAGAATGTGCCTCCCGGGGGCTAGGTTCCAGAGAGCAGGGTCCTCCAGCTGGGAACCCAGAAGCTCACCTCTCCAGGAACAGTCAGGGCCAGGACTCCAGTGGTCACAGAGGCAATTGGAGGTGGTTGTGGGTGTGGGGAGACTGCTCCGGGTTCTCTGGGACTTTGGGGGAATGATTTTCATACACAGAAGCTATCAGAGTGGCTTGTGTAGACAAAGAACCTAAAGGTGATGGACATCTGAGGCCCTGAGATTGATTCCTATTGTGGGAGATGGCAGCCAGGAAGAAGCTACTGTTGTAGCTTGAGCTACATAGCTTTACTGTCTCTAAAAGTAGGAAAGGGGTCTGAGAAGTGACTCACTGGTGAGCACTGGCCTACCATCTCCCAGAAAGGAGCTACAGGTGAGACTCAGCCTGAGGGCACCCACCTAGAACCCCACAGTGAGGGGCTGAGGTTATTGACGGTGACAAGGGTCAGTTTATAGATTAAAGGGAGACTTGTGATGAATTGGAAGCAGGAGGAATGCCTGGGTTCTGGAATGATGTCTTTGGAAACACTTCAACCAAAAGAGAAAAAAATGAAATATGGACTTTAAGAGATGAGGAGAGTGTAGGTCAGTGTGGAAGGGGAAGGGAGAATGAGGCCTGGGCTGGTGGTGGGTATCAAAGGCCCAGGAGGGCTGGGTACCAAGCTACCTCTGATGCCCTCCTTCATAAGGGGCCCGGAAAGGAGAGTGGTTGGCTTATTCTGGGAGGGGCTGTCCTTCGCCTTGTGCCAGCCCTATTATTGGAAACAACTGAAGGGTGGGAGCCAAGCAGTCACAAATGGACCCTGGGCACTGCGCTTGGGAAAACTGACACAGCTTCCTTGTACTAGATTTGAGGGTTCAGGAACATGTGTCATGGGAGCCAAGAGGAGATTCAGCAGGGCCAGGTGTGCACTCAGACGTGAGACAGGCTCTCCTGCCAGGTATCCGTGGTCTCTACTTGAAGGCAGGGTGAGAGAGACCAAGTCTGAGAAGGTCTAAAGATTCTCTGCTGGAGGTTATTTGTGTGGAGGTACCAAATATTTTGAAGGATCAATAGGAGTTTGTTAGGTAGAAAAGGCGTCCTCTCCGAAAGGGGAAGTAGAAAGGCTCTTTGGAAAGAAAAGGCCAGATATGATGATATAGAGGCCTGGGCACCTGCAGAGAACTGGGACAGAGACAGTTCAAAGAGATGCCTGTGTCTGCCTGTCCACAGACTTCCAGATGGGGCCCTGCTACCCCCAACTGAGTCCTGAGGGGTGCCAGCGCCAGCTGACAGGTCTTATGTGCACCAAAGCTCTCTGTTGTGCCACTGTGGGCCATGCCTGGGGACTTCCCTGCCAGCTCTGCCCTGCACAGCCGCACCCCTGCCGCCGAGGCTTTACCCCAAATGTTCACACAGGAGCCTGCCAAGGTGAGTTGTGGGGTACGCAAGGGAGAATGGAGCCCCTGGGTAGCCAGAGCTGAATGGAGATCCCCCTAACACACACACATATACATACCACACACACGCCACACATACACACATACCACACACGTACCACACACACACACAAAACACACACACCACACACACATATACACACACCACACACAAAACACAGACACATGCCACACACACACATACACACACACATACATACACACACATACACACCACAAACACATGCATACCACACACACACACACACACCATGCACACATACACACATACCACACACACACCACATATACATACACACCACACACACATACACACACATACCACACACGTGCACTACGAGATGGCTCTTCTCTCTGACTCCCTTTCTGGACTTTATTCCTGCAGATGTGGATGAGTGCCAGGTCATCGCAGGTCTGTGCCAGGGCGGCAGCTGTCTCAATACAGTGGGCTCCTTCATGTGCCACTGTCCTAGTGGACACCAGTTCAATATCAGAGGCGCCAAATGTGAAGGTAGTGTGTGTGTGTGTGTTACCTTGGCTCCCTGCAGAAGGATAGAGGGACGACCCTGTCTGCCTGTGCAGATCTGATTGAGTGTCTTAGTGTATCCAGGCCCTGCTCTAGGGGTGGCTGCACAAAATACTGGGAGCTATGTGTGCACCTAGCACCGAGGCTTAGTCAGAAACCTGGATGGAACTCACTGCCTGGCTGAGATGGGCCACTGGGCTAAAGAGGGACACAGTGGTAAATTACCTTTCCCTCACCCCAAGACCATCACTCTGGTCACTGACATCAATGATCCTATGCCTCGCTGGGCCCTTGTTTCCTCCCATCTAGCAATTGTCTTCCCAGTACCTATGCTCTCACTGACTCTGGTCTGGGGGTCCTTTTGACCCTCTTTTTCTATGTCCTTTAGTGCTCTGGTCTCCCAACTCAGTCTCTTGATTCTTCTGTTCCCCATCTTCCTAAAAACAAATATGCTTCCACTATGCCTGTTTGTTTCTCCTGTTCTATGCCCTTTGGGGTTGATGGATATGTTTACCCTACACTTTATCCTTAACCTCTGTTCCCACCAAACCTCCCCTGATGGAGTGACCCGCAGCACTCCCCCACCCTGTGGCTTCATCTCCGTCACCTCCCACAGCCTCCAACTCTATGCCCCCCAAAATTCCCTCTAGTATCCTTTTTTTTGCCAACCTCTAATCCTCCAGTCTTTATCTTTATGTCTTTCTCTGTACCCGCTAACCTTCATTTCTGTGTCCCCCGTGATCTTCTAGCTTCAATTTCTGTTACTCCTCTGACTCTGTAGCTTTCAACTTGGACCCCTTCTGACCCTTGAGTCTTTACCTTTGCTGTCTTCCATCATTCACATCTATGCCCTGCTGCCCATGAGCCCCTCTGTACCCCTAATCTCTTAAGAACTTTTCTCACGACTCCTTCATTTTTTTTTTTGAAAAGGAGAAACTGGGGCTCAGAGAAGCAAGGCTGGTTTGGATAGATTCAACAAGTCCATAACAGAGAAATGCCTACACCCAGCTGCCCAGACCCACATGAGGTTTGAAAGTGCCCCTTGTCTGGATCTCCTATACAGTCCCCCACACTTCAGCCAGTCAAGAATGTTTCTACCTTACACACAGTTGTCAAGAGCTTCCAAATCTAGATAATTTGAAGAGTCCACAAGGCTGCCTAGGAATATGGATGGAAATGAAAGTGGAGAATGGACAGAACTCTGTTTGCAGGAAAGAGAAGGAGGTATGGCCCATTCTCAGCATCACCTCAAGCCCCTCAGGCTAGGCCTGTATAAGACAGAACTAAGATTTGTCCAGTCTCCACCTCCAGGGTCCTTCATAGCCAGCATAATAGGAGGTCTTCAGCCAGAGGACCTTGAAATTCTCTGGATTTCAAGGAACTGATCCAGCTACAGAATCCAGTTGCCTCTGAACATGGGCTTTGATTTGGTCCTAGGTGTGTTTGTTTGGTGTGTGTGTGTGTGTGTGTGTGTGTGTGTGTGTGTGTGTGTTGTTTACCTGCGTGTATGTCTCCATATCATTTGCATGTATGATACCTGAGGATGCCAGAAGAGTGCATTAGCTCCCTTAGGTCTAGAATTACAGACAATTGTGACCCACCATGTGGGTGCTGGGAACTGAACCTGGGTCCTCTGCCCAACCATCTCTCTAGCCCCTCCGTCCTGAGTTTCTAGCTGAGCTGTTCCCAGACTATGTAATTTTACTCAACTGACTTTTTTAAAAAAAAAAAAAAAGAATTTTATTGTGCCTTAGTTTCCCCATCTATAAAATGGGGATAGTAGTCATACCAATCTTGAATGGTTGTTTTGAGGATAGACAATGATAGAGCTGAGGATATGGTTCAGTTGATAGAATGTTTATGTAGCTTGCACAAAACCCTGGGCTCCACCTTCTGCACTGTGTACAGTAGTCATAGTGGTGCATGCCTGTCAATTCTAGCACTCGAAGTGGACACAGGATAATCAGAAGTTCAAACTTACCCTTGACTACAGAATGAGTTTAAGGCCACTCTAGAGAGATGGGGAAAGGGGGAGAGGGAGAAAGAGAGAAGAAACATAGCAAGATGTAGTGAAACAGAAGTTGAAATGATTTGTAGATGACTGGTACACAGGTGTGCTCAGTACATGCATTGCTTATACATGCTCATACATACATGCTCAGTACATACATGCTCATATATACATGCTCAGTACATACATACAAGATGTAGTGAGACAGAAGTTGAAATGATTTGTAAATAATGGTACACAGGTATACTCAGTACATACATTGGCGATAAGGAGTACCCTGGGGAGGTTGAGGCAGGAGCACCTGTCAGCGAGGGTGTTTAAATCATTGACAGCAGTAGTTTACATTAAAATTCTCAATATTCGGTCTCTTTCTCCCCTACTGGACATACAGCTGCTTGTCAGACCCCGTGTGGTTAGAGAATCTGGTTCCCCACGTTCAACCAAATCTAATATCTGGGTGACCTTGAACCAGAGTGTTATCGTCTTCCCATCTGAACAGATCTCTTCTGAGTGGCCATCTCTCTCTCTCTCTCTCTCTCTCTCTCTCTCTCTCTCACACACACACACACACACACACACACACACAAACACACACACACACACAAACACACACACACACACACACACACCTGGGAGGCCCCCAGGTACACAGGGTAAAAATTAGGATGGTGGAAAAATTGGCATGACTTTCCAGCATAATGTAGGACAGAGGTAGCTGCCAGCAGCCCTCTCTGCTGGTGGGAGGAGTTCCTCAACCAAAGGAATAATATTTTTAGGTACTGAACCCAAAAATAAGCCTGGGAACTCTGATCTCCATGCAAAGCCATGTGCCCGAGAGTCTGGTGAGAAGCAGAGGAGTGTCTGTGTTTCTCATGCCAAGGTAACTAGGGGATCAGTTTCTTCAGAGGGCAGTGGCTCCTAGTGCATCCACTCGCCCCCTGAAAATGTTTCTCCATGCTTCCCTGTGATATCTAAGGTCAGTAAGCAAGGACACATGGACGTATTTGCCTGAGTTTGCAACAGGTACCCCCCCCCACACCGCTAAGAAGTAAGAGGTCTTCCTCATTGTGCTTGAAGAGAGAGAGTTTGCTGCTGATGGCAACTTGAGATATTGGAGCCATGGTCCAGATGGAGGCCTAATTCATCTTCTATAATGATTTAGAAAGCTTTAAAATAGGAAGTAGGAAGTACTGAGCAGGGTTTACCCACATGCTAAAGTGTGTGTGTGTGTGTGTGTGTGTGTGTGTGTGTGTGTGTGTGTGTG